AAACAACATCAATCTACTTTTTTATCAGCTAAAGTAGTTTATTTATACAGTTTATGCTGGTTGTGGTGAATAACAGAAATTGCAGTACAATCAAAAAAAAAAAAAAAGTTTCCTTAGCAGATCAGGAAGTTCAAGAAGAAGTGAAGATGTCCCTTAACATAAAATATCTTGGAACATAAACACTTCAGATATCCAGTGCAAACTTGATTTTTCATTCCCTGCTATCTATGTTAAACCATTTCTGCTTGAAGTATTTGGGATTCCTTTAAGATTGTTAATTGTTGATTTTCATCCTGCTTCTCTACTTATCTTATATATCACCTCACGTCCTGGTCTTGATAGATTAGAAATATGTGTTTCTATATATATAAAATTCAACTGTATAATTGTAAAACTGTATGTAGATGCTTTTTTTTTCCAGATTTGTTTGTGTAACTTAATTTGCCTTACATTCTCTATGATTGATGCTCTTCTTTGATAGCTGAAGCCCATTAGTGTCAAAACAAGGGTCTTAACTGGCTTAAGTGCTATAGGGAAATAAATGAATAGCAGTGCTATATTTCCTTTGATAAATAAATCTAACATCATTTACAAAGTTACTAGAAAGGCTGAAATGGATTTGTATGCTGTAAACAAGGTCTAGTAATATTTTACCCTGTGTAATGAAATACTGCTGTACTCATAGTTTATGTTTACAAAGAAAGGTCTTTGTCAAAAAGTGTGAGTTGTCTCTATAGCTGCATTTTTACATATGCAGCATATTTTTATATAATATATAACTATATGTATATTATAATATATAATTATATATTATATATTAATATATATATCATAGAATCGTAGAATCACAGAATGCTTAAGGTTGGAAGGGACCTCTAGAGGTCATCTAGTCCAACCCCCCTGCACACGCAGGGTCACCTAGAGCACGTGGCACAGGACTGCGTCCAAGCGGGTTTGGAAGATCTCCGGGGAAGGAGACTCCACAACCTCTCTGGGCAGCCCGTTCCAGTGCTCTGTCACCCTCACTGTTAAGAAATTTCTCCTTAAGTTCCTGTGGAACTTTTGGTGCTTCAGTTTCCAGTTGTTTCCTCTAGTATATGTTCATACAAAAAACTACTCAAGTTTTAGGATGACTCAGCATTTACATACCGTATGTCTGAAAATGAATGTTTGTTATAGTAAATACAATCATTACCTAATCCTCTTAGAAATCCCTTAGAATTTCCATGTATGTTAGTAATGGAGGGATTCCACAGCAGTTCTGCTTAGGGAAACATTAAATTTGAACTAATTATCGTTTTAGAGAGGAGGTCTATAAAAAGATTGTTGCCTTTTGATTGACTTGGAAAAAGAAAAGTTAGAAAAGAAAAGAAAAGAAAAATTGCTTTTAGATGATTATTGCTATATGAGATAAAAAAGGCAAAAAGTATATGACATGAACTTGAATATTCGACATTGTTTCTTCAAATTGGCTTGTTTTGGCAAATATTGGTTCTTGTAGTTAGAGGTATTATGCATGGCAAATTGTTAAAATAAAACTTACATTAATACTGGGGGTTAAAATATAGAGCTGAAAATTAATTCTAAGCTACACTGTGTATAGCTTAAACCGCCCAGTAGCAACCAAAAAGACTGCCAGCTCCATCATTTTTCTGTTGAAGAATGATCCTTTAGTGGTGAAGAATGCTATATTTTGAAAGGAACTTTACCTTTTATGTGTATGGATGCTTTAGGAGATAGATGTGAATTTGGTTCCTAAGACCAGTCATGTCTGAGGCAGGTTATGTCAGAACATAGGATATTTCATCACCAAGAAGAAAAAAGGCAAAGAAACAAAATGTAAAGCCCTACGAGAAGGAGAGGTCTCTGCTGCTCGTCAGGGAGCAGCGAGGAGCAGTGGCCGGTTCGGAGCAGCGTGTCCTGCTGCGGGAGCGCTGGGAGCCCACGCTAGCAGTGGGCACCGGGCTGGTGGAGGTGACTAGGGACAGATGCAGCCCTGCTTGCGCTGGAGCTGCAGCTTTGCTCCTCTGGCCTAGTCCAGGCTGGAGCTCACGGAATGGGGATGGCCTGAAATGGAGGTCCTGGACCACCGTGGGCAGTGGTTGTGGGCCCTGGGGACGTTGAGAGCCTTTTAAGATGCTCAGGGCTCTGACATGGATTACATAAATACTGGTAGGATTTCTGCTCCACTTGAATGTGTTTATATTATGATCCACTAACAACAGGTAGTTCTGAAAGCTTAGACCTTTGCTTCTTCATATGGTAGTTCAGTAATAGAGAAATATTTTTGTATGAAGCACAACCTATTGACCATTTAAAATGATACCTTACAATTGGATAATCAAGTGTAGCTTTTTCCCTCATAAAATCAGACTGTAAAAATAATTACCTTATTCTGACAAGTGAACTGAAGAAGTATGGCATAGAAGTCTGATAGGAATGCATACATAAAAACTAAGCTATGTTTACAAGGTGATTTTTTTCATATGGTGAATTTGTTAAACAGTAAGTGGCCTGTAATCAGTATTGATATCTTTGTGTGGTTCTCAAAAAGTTTTTGTCTATCCTATAAGGAAACAACCTAGTGGTGCATTTATATGTAATAGGTTTTGATTGCAGAGTCACTGACTGTTTTGCAAGCATAGGTAGATATAAGATGGGTTTGACTACAGGCATTGCATTGGGCTATCTGAGGTATTTTTTAAGGATGTGATTTGTGTGACCGTGCCTGAATATAAATAGTATCATGTATTAGTAAACTGTATTTCAATATTCCTTGTATCTCAAAATGTGTTACGTGATGTATTTGGTTTGCATCCAAACTTTTTAACCAGAAGGGTGCCTGAGTTTCTACATGACCTGGCTCTACATGACCCTGGGACTGTAACAATTTGTTTTGAAAGAGATAAGAGCATCAGCAGTGATGCTTCCTCTAAAGAAATCTGCATATAGATTCTCCTCAAGTAGGTGTACAGTCTTTCTGCCAGAGTGCCTGGATGAACTATTTCAGCATTTGGGAGCGTGCTTTTTACTTCTGCTTTTAATTACAGTGTTTTAATTGCAGTAACATCTGTTAAGATAGTTTGAGTCTTATGTTCAAAGACTGATCTTCCCTCCATGTGTTACGTGATGTATTTGGTTTGCATCCAAACTTTTTAACCAGAAGGGTGCCTGAGTTTCTACATGACCTGGCTCTACATGACCCTGGGACTGTAACAATTTGTTTTGAAAGAGATAACATCAGCAGTGATGCTTCCTCTAAAGAAATCTGCAGCTCTGCTGCTTGTTGCTCATATTTGAGTAATGCTGTTATCTTGACTTTGCATCTTAACCTGATGTTCTTTTAGAGAATGTGTTTTGACTGTTCAGTTAGAAACCCTCAAACCATTTTTAATAGTATCTGGTAACTGGAGTAAAAATTTATTATTTGTTTTACTGTGGAAATCATCAAAGGAGCAGGGGCTTAAAGTGTTACGTGATATATTTGGTTTTCATCCAGACCTTTTAACCGGAAGAGTGCCTGCGTTTCAACTGTGTTTCAAACTGTTGGAAAGTCTTCAAATTATTCTTTGGAAATGGATGTTCTGTAGCTTCCGGGGGTTTAAGAAAATGATATATCCACAAAATATTTCTTAGTATCCTACTGTTAGCTGAGGCTCTACATAACCCTGGGGATCTAATGCTTTGTTTTGAAAGAGATAAGACAGTATCACTAGTGATGCTTCCTCTAAAGAAATCTGCAGCTCTGCTGCTTGTTGCTCATATTGGAGCAATGCTATTATCTTGACTTTGCATCTTAATCTGATGTTCTTTTAGGGAATGTGTTTTGACTGTTCAGTTGGAAACCCTCAAACCATTTTTAATAGTGTCTGGCAACCGGAGTAAAGTTATTATTTTTTTTACCATTATTGATATAACCGTTTAATATCTTGTTCACAACTTAGACCACAGTGTAAATTTAAATTAATTCTGTGATAATTCAAGATTTTCGTGTATGGAAATTTGCGTTATCTGATTTATCATTTCTATTCTATCTCATGTCCTAAAAAAAAAAAAGGATAATCATGGCTGACCTGTATTTATTTTACAATTGGATTTCAAAATTTTATTTATTTCATAAATTAATATTGCCTGTAAATAAAATAGTACATTTCTTAATTGGGAACTGTAAATGAAGTATATTTTCAGTTCCAAACATCATGTGCATCCAAATTCTTGCATTTGTGCCTCCAAGTGCTACTGCAATATAAATACAATTGAAGATGCTGATTTTTTTTTTGACATTAGATGTACAGGTATTGAGAAGCTTCAATTCTTATGTAATTTTTCTTCAACTTCAGTATCAAATAATCAATGTATGCAAAATAAATTCCATTTTTTTTGTTATCAGTGAAATGAAAGTTTAATTAAATTGCTGCTAATAGTATTCTTCTGATATAGATTTCTGGGATGTAACTTCTTAGTTTGAGTAGGATTATGAATTTGACCTGTATTCTGACAAAGTATGTGTGAAGTAAAATCTCAAAAAGGTAAATATTTTCATGGTTTTCTCTTTGCCTTAGAGTACAGTAGATTTTGGTCTGGATTTTTTTTAGGTTCTGCTTATTTGCAATGGTGTGCTGAAATTTCATAACACAGTTACACTATGGAGAAAAAATATATGCACATAGCAAATGGATGTACACATTAACATAATTTTTGTTGTTGTTGTTTTTAGATTTTTCAAAATGTAGTGAAGAAACCTAGTACTAAGGGGAAGATAAGTTATTTCTTAAGCTAAAAATGCAATATATCATCAAATGTATACCTGTGTTTATTTTACAGATACCCTTCAATAGAACTCTGCTCAGAAGGAAGGCTTTCATTATTCGACAATGATATTATAATTAATTCCTTCCTTATTAATCTAAACATTGCAAAGAAGCAACATCTTCTACATTTTGGTGCTTATAGCCTGTGTTGTTTCATTATTTAACCATTTTTCCATATGTATTTTACAGATTTTGAAAATGGAGTGGGGGGGAGAGTATTCTCTTGATTCTTCCAATTTCGACTGTTTGTTAAATGCTCTTCCTGGAGAATTGGAGTTTCAACAAGTCCTTAGTGATATTGATGAAAAAATAAAGAAGAATTCTGCTAGGTAAACAACATTTTCTAAGTATCTGCAATATTAGTGAAATTTATTTGTGAATTTAGTGAAAATTATTTGAAATGATTTGTTTGAAATTATGTTTAGAATGATAGTTGTTTCCTTGCTTCTTTTGTTAAGTTAAATATATTAAAAATCCAATAATTTTTTCAGTAGTAACTTAACCATAACCATTTAAGCACTTAACACATTTTTAATGCCATATAATTTCCATGCTATAGTCTTTCTCTGTATGGTACTTTTGATGGTTGAATCATCTTCATCTTAGGAATTATTGTAGTTATTGAGATAGAGAAAGAAGAAATTGTGTATTCTCATGACATTTGTGTTTTGTACAGCTTTGAGTTAGAAGTTTTGTTCACTAAAAGACATAAGGAATTTACAAGAAAGCACCCTTTGAACCCATAATATTCTTTAAACATTTCTAATGAAAGTAGAAAAAGCAAATAAATATGTTCTTTGTTAAAGAATCCATTATTTTACTTTTCAATTAAAATATTCGTACAATAGTAGAAGACTTTGTAACTAGATTTTTTTTTGTGATATCCTTCAGTGCTTGTTTTGTTATACATATGTCCATTATAATGCTATAGAAACACTAAAGTACCGAATAGGTTCTCTTTTGATTCTGTTTTTTTTTTAATATCATTATAGAAACGTCATCCAATCTTCTGTGTATTCCTTCTGCTTTGAAAAGTGGTGGGAGTGTTTGTGGTTGAAGTCTGTAGTACCTGTAAAGCACTTTCATTGGAGAAATTCTCTTAAACAAACAGTAATTGCTGTTGAGAAAAGTCAGTGCTTATTCAAAGATATAAGAAGTAGCATTATTTATGTAAAATATTTTTTTAAAATTGCCTTTGGATAGCAGTCCATTTTGTATAAGTGTATGATTTCAAAGAATGCTTTTGATGACATTTGCTTTAATGCTGTGCAATTTTAGTGAAACTTGCACTTGTGAAGGTCTTTGTCCACTGCTCCAAACAGGTTTCTGAAGAATAAAAATAAACTTCATTGAAAACTGATTTATGTGACTGCTGAATTGCTGCTGAGATTTTTTTTCAGCCTTTTTATTTATATTATTCATATCACACTTTTTGAACAATTTTCTTTTAAAAAATTAACGGCCACAAATGTTTACTTGTGACAGTAATAATCCTAGGGTTGCAATAATAGCAAATATCTGTGGAGTGTGCTGTTTTAAACCAGTACACAGTGCAGTATCCAAGCTGTTGACATCAGTGAAATCTTAATGTGTGCTTTGAAGATTTTAGCTGATGTCATCATAGATTTATTACTATTGGATTTTGAGTTGCTATAGTGTTACAGATCTAGGGAAAAAAACAGCATCAACATTTTTTGGCAGATATATGAACTGTATATTGCCACCTGCAGATATATAAACTGTATTTTGCTACCTTTTCAGTTACCAGCCAAAATTGATCTTTGACATTGTTAGGTAGAGCCAATCTGAAAGTTTATATGATAATTAGAAAGATCTTTGGAATATGCATGGATTACTATTTTTGTTTGTTTTTAACTTGCATAAAATGTATGCAGCTGGTTGATAAAACTTCTGAGCTTTTTTGGAGAGAGAGACACAGTCAGGAAGGACTTGGTAGTCTTGCTGAACTGCTTCTTAAGGTTGTTTTTAAACAGAATTTCACAAGAAAAATCAGAAAGTAGCCCTGTAGGGTATAGTCAGAAAGCAGGTGATATTTTGTTTCTATAATATGTCATTTTCAGAAATGGAGAGGAGTTTAAAAGAAGATGGACAGCAACTGATACGACTTTTAAATTAAAAAGAGTATTATTATTGCTAATATATTAGAGGTAGTATGGATTGAAATCATTTTCAAGTTACCATTGATCTTTGTAAGTGGTATGATAAGAGCAGCTCTATGTGCTACAGTGATGCAATTGGAATATGATCCATTTTTCATCAGATAGATTTATGATTTTATTATACCACAGAGAATAAGCGTAATAGTATACAGCATATATATATTTTTAAAAATAAAGCAGAGCGTAAAAAATTACTGTACAAAAGTGCATAAATCACTTGAACACTCATTTATTACCTTCCATCTGAATAGCTTTTATAAAATTGTGTGACACAACAAATCAGATTGGCTTTCCAACAGTTGAATTACCCTCAGTAGGTAGGTAGTGTACCAGTTCTACTCAGTGGCATAACAACAACAACTACAACAACAAAGCGAAAAAGTGGCCAAGTGGCTGCTGGTGGGGAATTGTTTAATTTCTCGGTTTTAAGGAAGTAAAAGTGATTCATTCATTCACTGTTCTAAAGCAGAGTTCTTATTACAGCTGAACATTAGTATTATCTTTACAGTATTTTATGGCAGTAGCTAAATATGGAGTCTCAAAACCATTGTCTCTGCTGGCTGGTTTTCTGTGCCAAAATAGTCTCGGATTATTCTACAGCATGAAATTGTGTTCATAATTTCATGAGATTGCCATTTCTCTTCAGTCTTTCCCCTCACTTTTGCTTTCACTTATACTGCTTTTCAAATTTTTTTTGATTAAATTTTTGTTTTCTAATATGGAAGTTTAAGAATTCCTAACAGTTAATTTATGAATAATCCATGAAATAAACTTTCGGAGGATTTTTAATACTACTATTAGAAAATGATACAACTACAGAAAAAAAAAAAAGATGCTTGTGGGATTAACTCTAGCATTTGAATTTTTTGTTTGTTCATTTCTGTCTCTCTACATCAGTGTGTGACTGGCTACTTTCTAGCAGTGACATCTGTGTTCTGCCCTGCTGCGGGAAAGTTCAAGGAATTCAAACCTTCTACAACAGAACAATGACTCTGAATTCAACAAAATCATTTACTAATAACTCTCTAATACATTGAAGACCGTATCTATGTGAGGCTTTTTTAGCAGAGACCTCCGTCTTCAGCTTAACTTTCTGTCTGTTTAACAGCAATTTAGTCATCTATGAGAAAAATGAATTGGTGATGATCTGCTTCAAGGAACCCAGTAGAGTCGTGACTAAGTGCTTACAACATAGCGTCCTGTCCTATGTTTGTTTAATATAAATTTTAGTTGTTATTTAGTCGACTAACAAGATGCTTAGTTTGCAAACTTAGAATATGTGGGATGTGTCTCAGTCAGGATGGTAGTATGACATTTTCCACTTCCTCTGGCTGTTGATTATAACTTTGCTGACCTGCCTGGAAGTATCTTCCTGCATCCATCTCTTGTGATTAAGGACCAGGTAGGCTCCTAGGCACTTCTCCACGTACCATTTTTCTGTAGCGCAATTGAAGCATGCAAGGACTCATGTGACATGAAACTGAGTTCTGATGCAGGCAATACACTTGTCTTTTCTGTTTTGAAGGAAATTTGTAGTTTTTCCTTTCTGGAATCTGTAGTTCTTCTGACAACCTCGCTTAACTAGTCATTCAAGATCATCAACAAAGTCTTGGGATTTCCATGCAAAATCTTAAATAGTGGTTAAATATTAGGGAGAATTTCCAACTAGAGCCGTTAGGACAGTGGGGTATAATGTTGATAGTGTTTCTTTTCTTGATTATGTTTTAACATAGCTCTCAGACAAACCTTCTTTCTTCTGATGTGTATTTAACCTACTTATTGTAAAAGTGCATTGCTGTAGTATTTAATTTTGAAGTAGTACTTATTAAAGCTGTTAGAATGATGTTACTAAAATCTTTGATAAAGAGTATCTGTCTACCCACTACACTGTTAATTGCTAGAAAAGAATAATTGAGCTCGAACAGGAATGTAATTTTATTCCCATTCAGTCTGTGTCAGCTTTGTTGTGATTGATTGCTGAGATCAGGATAGTTGCTCCTTATCATTTTACTAGCTGGGACAGCACAGAGCTCCTCAGAGGCTGACTATTTTAATAGATAGGTAGTTTCTTAACTCTGTTCTACAGTGATTATGATTGTGTCAGTGTCTTAGCTAGTTAGCTGTCATGTACATTTACAGAAGCTATAATCACATCTTTGACTGCACTGTGAAATATCTCATTTCATATAAGTAAACAGAAGACAATGTCTTTTACTCCTTATTTCTCACTGTTGTGTTCAGGTCAGTGGAGTTGAAAGACACCTATACTTCACTACCTGTCTTCTAAAATAACTTACTGGATCAAAGCTTACATGTAGTGGATTTCAATACCTGAAGTCTTTAAAATAATATGGGAAATTATTCTAAAGATATGCAGTGATTCAATGAGAAGTTACAGTTCCGATATGCAAATAGTTTGGTGAGTTTCTGTGCTGAAAGTACAGCAAAGTCATAACAATTGTATTTAATTCTGGTGACAATTCTATAAAGTTCTTTCATGGTGTCAGTAGGTCTGTTTTTAAGTGGGTAAATTGGAGAGAGAAAATAGTTTGCAAAGTCCTCTGTTTTTAAGGAGTAAGGTCCAAGGTTATAATAACAAAAATTTGAAGAAGTTGTTTTTGCAAGGCTTCTAGCATCATGATAAGACTGTCGCTTTCCCAGATCCATGTTTTAAAGAATTGATGATTAAAAAAAAAAGATATCAAGACATATTTTTCTAACAGCTCTTTTCTAAAGAGGTAATGTTTATGCAGTTAGGTCTTTGTCAGTTCTGTATTGCTGCTTATGCAATAATAGGTTTATGAAATAATGTTATGAGACAATATTGAATGAAGAAAATACAAAATAATATGTTTGACTTCCTTTATGAAATATTATGTTTAACTTCCAAATTATATTAAAAAATACAAAATATGAAAGAGGTAATAGAATAATGGAGTCTTAATTATGAAAATGTTTACTCAAGGCATGCACAAATATGAAGTGATAACAAAATTAATAGCAAAAGATGATTTACTTCCAAGGTTTTTCCTCTGCTGTTGAGGTCGTCATTGCAAAGAACAAAAAACGATGGAAATTTAACTTAAGCAGATGGATTAATGAGAGTAAGAAAACAAGTATTCCAGAAATAATAAGCTGCTGATTTGATA